GATTCCATTCAGTTGATTCTTTGCTTTGACACTGATGCTAAATATCCCTTTTAGTTGATGCTGATGTTAAATGTTCCTTTTCATTGAACCTGATTTTATTTTTTATTTTTTTTATTGACGTTAATGATAATTTCTCTTTTAGTTCACTCTGATGTAAATTGTTTGCTTTTTTATTTTGTTAAACGTTGGCTCCTTATCTTTATTGGTTCCAGAATGTAGTTTCTCCTTTTCAATATTTTGTTTGTTTGTTTTGTTTTAAGCTCTTTATTCTCTGATTTTGAAATATTTTCACAACCACTCATCAATGGAATTTCATCTCTTAAAAGTTCTCCTAAGCAACGTTACTCGGTTCACTGACCGTTTCAGCAACCTCTCTGTTCACGTCGCCGTCAGACACTGAAACACCTATCGTGTGTCGACTTCTTCTTCAAACTGAGCGAGGCTGGGAGATAATCACCCGCAATTCTCTGCCCTTGGCACCTACTGTCTTGCTGTTATCTCCCTTCCCAACCGGAACTGATGCGTGATAGCGTCTCGGCGCATGTACGGAAGTGGGTGGGATAGAAGCAGAACGCAGACAGACATGGCTCCAATTTAGCGTACCGTAAGCCTCTCATACGAATCAAGGAAGGATTTAGGAGTGTTTAATAACAGCCTCAGCTGGCTTGGACGTTTTATTTCTTTCCTCCTAATCTTTATAAGAATGGTTTGCGGCGGATTTCACACTGTTGTCACGAGAAGATGTTACATTTGTTCGTTTGGTGTTCGCTTTTTTGTTCTTGACACTGTTGACCCTCACATTAGAAAGCCAACAGGACTGGCATCTCGTGGCTATAACGGTTAGGAGCTTCGCTTTAGCACGCAGAACACCGGAGTTTGATTTCCACTTGGGGAGCTTTTTAATTTAATAACTCGAGTCTTTCTACTGGGGCTTTGTATCACTCTTAGCCCGGGTTGGCCTTGGCATGTAGGATCGAGGCCTGCCTCATAAATTTTCTTTTTTGTTGTTTTTGTCGCGTAAAAACATCTGCATTTTATGAACATTAATCGGTTTCTGTTCTCTAACTGTAAGACTCTTTGTCGAACAGGGGGAACAGACAAAAGGGATAAGGACTTTATCAATATTTTCTTCCAAAAATTGATTATTTTTTGTTGTAAAATTGACTCCATATCTTGGATTCATTTTTAATTTCTAGCTACTAATCACTGATCATTTATCTTTTTTCCCCTTTGTGTTATTATTAGTGTGCAAACAAGCACACACACAAACACACACACATACACAACCACACAATTAAACACACACAAACACACACACATACTCACACACACCTCCACACATACACACAGACATACTCAAAAACACACTCAAACACTCACACAAACACACACACACACACACACACACACACACACACACACACACACACACACACACACACACACACACACACACTTACGGTACACCATGGCAGTTGCTGACAGCCAGAAAAAGTCGACTTTGGTCTAAAAGCGATTTTTCGATTTTGGACTATTTTAGTAGAGCAACATCTGCTTTATCGAATGGAAATATTTTCAAGTGTCTAAAACATCTATAAAGTGCTCACATATGCCATGTTTGTGAACATTTTGTGGAAATAGACCAGTATGAATTAAGTTTTTTTTTCGGTTTTCCCAAAACTAAGATTTTCTTAGGGGAGTGGGTCATCTGTGCAGAAGTATTTCTGAAAGTACGTGTCACAGCTCAATCCCACTTTTCAGGACTGTTTCTAGATAATATGTTTGCAAATATTCTAAAAGATTATTGTGATATTGTAATAAGTTTTTCGTCAGTGTAAAAAAGATTGACAGTATCACTCTTATTTGTGATCAATTTTTTGTCCGAACATCGTATATGACACTAAAAGGGCAGTAACAAAAAAAAGTATGAGAGTTATGAAAGTAAATCTTTAGTACATTGCATGTTGTATATACAGAAACACTGTGTTTAAATATCAGGGCTGTATCTATTTCATCTTTTTCAGTATCCCTGTACAGAACCCTTTGCATCTGAAGAATTCAGAAAATTGACAGTGAAATTATATAGGAACAGTGTGTTTCTGTTTCTTGACTCATATTGGCTTTTGGGAAGCCCAGTATACTCAATTTAGAGCCCAAACAAAAATTTTCACTTCAGCTGTACCTAGTGTCCCTTAAACACACATATATACAATCACACACGTGCACACATAATATCGAAAGAGAGAGATACAAAATAAAAAGTTTTACAGCACACGATTATTTCTTCTCTCTCGCACAACTAGCTGTCAGAGCCAGCGATCTGAGGCGGTGGAATTAAAACTGACTGGAATCTTCTCTCGCGATAACACCGCGATGCCAGTGGCACTTTAAATTGGCGGCATTCAAAATGAAATAAAAGCTACAACGATAAGTTCTAGTCAAGATATGCGCCCAGGGAAGTGAGAGAAGAGTATTGTTTTCATTTATGCCTCCACGGGGGTTGTCTGCAGCTATAAACTGGCCATGTTAGATTTACGAATACATATACATTATCACTTTGTTAATACAGTCGGGGGGAAATGATTTTGCTGAATGGTTGATGTGTGTTCTGGTGTGGTTTGTTCATTCCTTCCTATAAAACTTCTAATACTTTTTCCTCTAATCTTTTCTTTTCTATGTGTGTTACTCTCTCGTGACGCATCTAATCTTCGACACTTATTATGACGTATGTATGTAGCAAGTGCCGTGAAGTTCTTACTAAAACTAAACTAAACTGAACTAAACTAAACTAAACTAAACTAAACTAAACTAAACTAAACTAAACTAAACTAAACTAAACTAAACTAAACAAAACTAAACTAAACCAAACTAATCTAAAGTAAACTAAAGGGTAATTCTGGTTTCTCAATAGTTCTGCTGCACGTTTTGATATCGCTTTCGCTTCCTCGTGATGTCATCATTTAGAGACAATGGTTAAAGCGAAACTTTGTTCATGAAAGAAGAATAAAGAGCTTGAGAGTTTGAGAGACGAGAAACGAGGAGACTATTGTAAGGACGAGGGATAAAGAGAGAGAAAGAGAGAGAAAGGGGGGGGGGGGGAGAAAAAGAGAGAGAGAGAGAGAAAAAGAGAGAGCTAGAGTAATAGATACCCAGAGAGGAGTGGAAGTACGGATGGTAGAGAGGTGGGAGAGAGACAGCGAGAGAGCGAGAGGGGGGAGGGGGAGAGATAGAAAGAGAGAGAGAGAAAGAAAGAGAGAGAGAGAGAGAAAGAAGAGAGCGAGGGAGAAAAAGAGAGAGAGAGAGACAGAGACAGAGACAGAGAGACAAAGAGAGACAGACAGACAGACAGACAGAGAGACAGACAGACAGAGAGGCAGACAGACTAACAGCAGACAGACTAACAGACGGAGAAAGAGAGAGAGAGAGAGAGAGAGAGAGA